TCCATAAAAACTGCGAAAATTCTGGGCCACGCCAGGTCAGGATTACCATGCTTTCGTCTCTCTCAGTTAATAAGCGGCTTGAATTCCGAACAAACTGCTGCAACGTGCCCTTTTTTGGGGATAGTTCTTATCAGTCTCTTCGATATAAAAAAGAAATTTCCAGATGAAGGACTCCATGCCAAACGCTTGCACTGTACCTCCTCGCCATGAATTGCAAACAAATTTCCGGACACATTGATACAAGACAACAGCAATACTTCAACCCACCCAGCAGCCAACCTTAGCGATAAGTACCCTCTGCGTTTACCTGCTCGTACATTTTCTTAATCCCTACACTAACTTAACAAAACTCACTTTTTCACAATAACTGGTGAAGCTCCACGATGTCGCCTGAGGTAATCGCGAAGTTTTTTATCCAGAACAAGAGTTCCGCCCTCATCCTTATCACTCCGCATTTCATCAAACTCCTCACTATTAGTATCGCCATCATCCTCCTTCTCGGCAGCAACCTTCGATGATTTGCTTAAGTAAGAACAATCTCAAGCCCAAAATTTAAGTTTGAAAAACGAAAAGAAATAAAACCAGACTCCAAAATTCCTTAAACTAAACTGTTTCTCCGAGACTTATTTACTAAGAACAGCAAGACAACCAGGTCGCCGGACAACGCGGGTATCCCAATGCTGATGAGATGATACCAGAATGTTTGCGCACACCAGACGCAGCTATCCTGACGCTTCGATCCAGGGCTTCGATTGACACTCGAGAGCCATCGATTTTATAAAGACTGCAGTTTGGTGGTGTGTGCATGAATGTGTCTCGTTGCTGCAGACAGCTTAAGCTAGCTGCTGTGGTTACGATTGGGCTAGTCAACAGTAGTGGTTTTTGGACAGCTAAAAACAAAAAATGTTGCTAAATCACAGAGGCCTTCCGGTCAATCGATATGGGGAGTTGCTAGCTTGCTGGGATGCTTCCACAACTCCGACGCAGGCAGTACAAGCCTTTCAATCCTGAGCTACATGCCTGCAATCAGTTCGATGTATTTGTGAGATCTTTTCAGAGACACTTCAAACTGGCGTATTTTTCTTCTCGGATACCACTAATTAATACGCGACGTTCACCGTAAAAAACATGTTGCCGCCGATCCGTTTTTACTTTTTCTAGTGATGATGATAACATTCTGCATGTAAACCATCTGGTACAGAATGTGACTGCTTCTGTGGTCACTCCAAGCACACTCTTCTGCCTTCGTCAGTGATCATCAGTGCGCCTCTAGCTTAGAAAACAAAGAAGATGAAAAAGTCACCTGTGCTCAGCGACCCGCATTTCTCCAGCTCCACTCGAGATGTGGAAGTTTTCCAATCGCGCATTGACTATATCTAGCCTTCTCTTACACTGCGGCTCATCCTGCAAAAATTTAACGATAATGATACTGTTACAATATCATGATTACTCCACGAATAATCAGTGCGGGCATCCCATGTCAGCAATGTTCCTGGAATGCTTCCAAGCGCAGGGACATGCCTCCAATTTAGTTTGATGCATGTGCACCACCTTTTCAAAGACAGCTCAAATGCGGGTACCGATCACATTCTCTAGTGGTCGTGATAATATTCTGCACCATCACCTACTGCGCAACTT